TTAGGGCTATTGTGAAATTCCGTCCATACTTATACGGACGTCCGTTCGCAGTCATCACGGACCATAATGCGCTTTGCTGGCTGTCGACGCTTAAGGACCCTACAGGAAGACTCGGCCGATGGGCACTTCGATTAAAGGAGTACACGTTCTCGGTTGTTTACAAATCTGAAAAGCTGCAAAGCGATGCTTACTGCTTATCCCGGCACCCCGTTGATCCACCTAGCTCCACTGATTTGGAATCCGATGCCTGCGTTTTAGCCATCACTGACTTTCTGAACGTGGCCGACGAACAGCGCCGAGATCCATCGCTGCTCACTATCATTGATCACCTTCAATCGCGTTATGCTGACCCTTCTCTTAGCAGATACTTACTTCAAGACAACGTTTTGTACCGCTGCAACTTACACCCCGACGGCGCAGAACTTTTACTCGTCGTACCGCATCACCTGCGAAAGGATGTTCTGCGACAATTTTACGACGCTCCAACTTCTGGACATCTAGGAGTTTTTAGAATTTACGACCGCATTCGACGACGAGTATTCTGGAAGGGCCTCTACCGCTCTGTTCGCCGTTACGTCGCATCATGCGACCTCTGCCAGCGCCGAAAGAAGCCTACGACTCCCCCTGCCGGTCTTCTTCAACCTATTGAAGTTCCAGCCGAGCCATTTTATCGAGTGGGGTTGGACTTGCTAGGTCCCTTTCCTACTTCTACAACTGGAATAAATGGATTGCAGTGGCCACAGACTATGCCACTCGGTATGCAATCACTCGAGCGCTGCCAACCAGCTGCGCAACCGACGTTGCCGACTTCCTGCTGTACGACATCATTCTCCAGCATGGCGCTCCGTCTCACCTGCTCACAGACCGTGGTCGCTACTTTCTATCTCGTGTGGTTGATGACCTACTCCGATCTTGTTCTACCCGTCACAACTTCACCACATCTTACCACCCTCAGACTAACGGCCTTACGGAGCGCCTAAACCGCACAATGACAGACATGCTTGCCATGTATGTATCTACCGACCATACTGATTGGGACATAGCTCTTCCGTTTGTAACCTTCGCCTATAACTCGTCGCGTCATGAAACAGCGGGCTACTCCCCTTTTTATCTACTCTTCGGACGTCATCCCTTACTGCCCTTCCACACACTGCTTTCATCAGACCACCCATCCTCCACTTCGTACGCTCAGGATGCGATCACCCGGGCATGCGCGGTAGCGCGCGCTCGGTTATCGTCGTCGCAGACAGCACAGAAGTCCCTTTATGACCGTCTACATAGAGGTGCCGTTTTTTCTGCGGGATCTCTTGTTCTCCTGTGGCTCCCATCTCAACATGTTGGCCTCTGCGAGAAACTACTATCGCGATACGCTGGGCCCTACCGAGTCATTCGTCAGGTCACACCTGTGACCTACGAGATTGCCGCTACCACAAACTCATGAGCCGCTGCACCCAGAACGGAAGTAGTCCACGTTTCTCGTCTCAAGCCCTACAACACCGACTCGTTCACTTAACAGGCACCGAGACGGTGCCTTACGGGCCGGAGTGATGATACGTGTATGGAACTGTCACTCCGACACAGCTGAATTGGCACCCAAATGAAGAAGACGACAACGTGGTTGTTGTGGGTTGGACTCTCGAGCTTCTCCCCTTGGCCTGCATGACTGTGCGCTCTCTAAGCCGTTTGCAAGACCAGCTCTCGGTGAATAAATCTTCCCTGTAACAATATCATACAGGCCACAGAGCGATCGATTCCACAGACATCTGACAAGATGCGAAACAAACGACGTTCCTGGTGGAATGCGGAGTGCAAAAAAGCTCGCGAGAACCAAATCAAAACTTGGTCGAAATTTCGCAGGTACCCTACAGCTGACAACCTGATGAATTTCAAGCGTGCAAGAGCAAAGGGTAGGTGTATCCGATGTGAATCAAAGCAGCAGAGCTGGCAGTCCTTTCTCTCGTCAGTTAACTCCTACACTGATACGCATAGGGTGTACAACAGAGTAAGAGCACTTCAAAGGCACAACACTCATCTGGTCCCTCTCGTCAGTACTGCTGGTGATACGCTGGAACACCAGGCAGATGCCATAGGCCAACATTTTGAGTACGTCTTCAACTCAGCACATTATACAGACTCCTTTAAACGACACAATCTTGCTGAGGAACGTAAGGCTATTCGTGATAGAAGGCCATCTGCTGGAGGCTACAATACTTTGTTTACCATAGACGAATTGAAGGCAGTGCTGGCAATATGTGGCAACTCAGCAGCAGGCCCAGACAAGATTACATATGGCGTGCTGAAACACACGAGCACACGCTTGATGCCATTCTATTACTGTTCAACAGCGTATGGTCCTCTGGGCGCCTACCCAAGGCCTGGAAAGAGGCAGTTATCATACCCATCCTCAAACAAGGAAAAGAAGCCTTGTTATAGGCCTATCACCCTGACTAGCTGCCTGTGCAAGGTATTTGAATAAATGGTAAACCACCACCTCATGTATTACGTTGAATATAATGGCCTCCTTGACCGTCGTCAAGCTGGATTCAGATCAGGCCGGTCGACAACTGACCAACTGGTAGCATTCGAATCCTACGTCAGGAATGCCTTCATTCACAAACAACACTGCCTTTCTGTATTTTTCGACTTGGAGAAGGCTTATGACACGACATGGCGTTGTGGCATTCTCCGTGACTTGCAATCTCTCGGAGTGTCAGGGAACATGCTGAATACAATTCAAAGCTACCTCTCTGAACGTACGTTCGTGGTTCATGTTGGAAATGTCCTTTCAAGGCAGTTTACGCAGGAAAATAGTGTCCCCCATGGTGGCGTACTTAGTTGCACACTATTTATCGTAAAAATGAACTTCATAAACACTATACTGCCTAAAACAATCTCCTACTCTGTATATGTGGTTGACATTCAGATCAGCTTCAAATCGTGCAACCATCTGCGAACGTCAGATTCATTTGGCAATAAAGCTGGGCTGACAGAAATGGTTTTAAGTTTAATTGTGATAAGACTGTTTGCCTACTCTTTTCAAAACTACGCGGCATAAGGCCATCCCCTAACATTTCAATGAACGGACACACCATTGCTACTAAGAAGGATCTTAAATTTCTAGGTGTTGTAATGGATGTAAAGCTCAGTTTTGTGCCAGACATCAAGCAGCTGCTACTGAAAAGCTTGAAAGCCTTGAACTTGCTCAAGATTCTCTCGCATCAGTCATGAGGTACAGATTGTGACTGTCTATTAAAGCTTCTCAGTAGTGTAGTGCTCTCGCGTATTGATTATGGCTCGGTTGTGTACGAATCAGCATCGAGATCCGCACTTAAGATGCTCGACCCAGTGCATGACCATGGGCTTTGTCTGGCTAGTCGTGCTTTCCGAACCAGCCCAACAGCCAGCCTGTATGTTGAGACAGATCGGTGGTCATTAGAACGACGACGGCAGTTCACAAGCATCAAGTATGCAACCAAGGTGCTTTCCCATGTCGACCTTCCATCTCGCGAGCTATTGCAGGATACATCAAACACCCACGGGTTCTTGAGACAACCATCAGCTACGCCAACGTATCCCATCAGAGTGGCCTCACACTTTGAAAATCTGCATATACCCATCTCCGATCTTCAACTAAGTTCCCACAAGGACACTGTGGCACCATGGGAAATGCGGGCTATCAACTGTGACTTGTCATTCATAAAGGTAGGAAAGCATGGCCTCCTAGTCGCAATCGATCAGCATTTTATGTACTTGCAGGCAAAATACAGGTGGGCTGAGTACTACACTGATGCTTCTAAGTCCTCGGCCGTCGCATGTGCTGCATACGGCCCAGCGTACTCTGAATCTGCAACAATGAACGAACATACCAGCATATTTACTGCTGAGTGCTATGGCATACTGCTAGCTATAAGGCACATCTTCAAGAAGAAAGAACCAGCCTCCATCATATACACAGATTCCCTCAGTGCAGTGACTGCGTTTTCTTCGTAAAGACACATAAAAATCCAGTGACTAATACCCTTCTAAACTGCCTCATGTCAGCCTACAGATCCAAGCTTAAAATCACACTATGCTGGATTCCGGGACACTGCAACATAGCTGGCAATGAGGCAGCGGACCGACTTGCGAAGTCCGCTGCACTGCGCCCAACAGTAGACGTAGTCGTCATCCCATATAAGGACTTGAGGCTGCTAACCAGAAACCGAATGCGTAGGCAATGGCAAGAGGAATGGAACACAGCAATTTAAAACAAATTGCACACAGTAAAGCCAAGAATAGGTAGATATGCTCTTGAAAAACGTAACAGGCATCAAGAGGTTGCACTGTGCAGGCTCAGGATTGGTTACACATGTAACACACTAGCACCTTTTAAGCAACTCTCCAGCACCGTGTTGTGAAAAATGTGGTGATGTGCTGTCGTTCACGTTTTAATTGTGTGCCCGTTCCTTGAACCAGAAAGACTGCGTCACTTCCCAAAGCTATACAAATGCCACATATCGCCTCAAACTTTATTATTATTTTTTTTTGGTGACGATCCCATGTTTTCTACTAAAATAGTTTTAAAGTTCTTAGCGGATGTTGAATTCTTGCATTCCATTACATATTCTAACTAATGTCGGCCCTCTCTCAATCCTCAGAGAACTGCTGAGACTTCCTTACCAAATGTCATGCAGCACGCACTCCTTGTCCTGACAAGGACCACTGCCGCCACTGCGTGACTTTTTAAAACCCATAGGTTTAGACCGTTTTAAACTCGCAACACATAGTCATTAATTACACTTAAGTTTAATCCCTATGCCCCACTCTTTTATTCTTGCCACTCTGAGTTCTTTTCTATAATTGAACCGACGAAAAACCCTGTGTTTGGCGCTCTTTGGCCTGAGTTGCCCTGATGGTAGACTTAAATCTACCATCATCATCATCATCATCTCCCCTTCAATGTCCTCTTTTTCTTGTTCATTTCAGCCTTTTCATATCCATCATATTTGATTGCTTTTCAGTTTCCCATGTACAAGCGGGACTACGTGTACATACGAAGAGCATTCGTTGATGATCAACGCAATGTTATGGTGATCATGTCCAGGTCAACGGATCACCCAGCTTGCCCCCCTATCAATGAGTGTGTCCGAGTGACCAAGTACACGTCACACATGGTGATCAGGCCGCACAGAAGCATAGATGAGGTGAGTCCACTTTCATAGGAATCACTTTAACCGTTATTTTCCTTCTTGTCTCTGTGGAAGCCCACCAGCTTTCACAATGTCTTAATAAACCCTCTGTTTCCACTGACGTACTTAAGCACAGCCTTCACATAAACGTCACCACGAATCGGCTGACGTGCAGTGTACTCCATGAAAATGTGAACAAAGTTGGTGCACATATATTTAAAATATTCATAATATAATAATAATTGTTGGGGCCTTACGTGCCAAGTCCACTATCGGACTATGAGGGACATTGTATTAGAGGGCTCCGGGAGTTTTGATCGTCTGGGGGTCTTTAACGGGCAATAGACCATTTTCATAATTGTAAAGAAAGCTTTTCTGCAATGCAGTTCAATTTCTGGCGGCTTGTCATTTTTGTAAATGAGTGTGTTCAGGTGCAGTTTACTGGCACAATTATGCAGAAAATATAAATATGGCTCTCTTGATATAAACTCGCATAGTACACAAGCCCCAGAATGTGCAACTGGTACCTCCTCTCCACTTGAGACACAACGAGTGCCCCCATTAGTTGAGGGAATGTGCAGCGCACTTGTAGTTTATGAAGAAAGTCCTTTAAATCTAAGTGCATGGGTCTCCAGCAGTTTTTTATCTAAATGCTACTGCCATGGCCGGGATTCAATTCTGCAAGCTTTGAGTCGACTGTCGATCACCATAATCGCTAGACCACTGTCGTTGGTGAAATTCATAAATTACAGTGAAACCTCATTAAGTCTAAGGTACTGGGACTGTCATTTGAATGGTTTTTTGAATAGACATACAAAAAGCGAGATGCGAGGAACCTTGAATTAGTAAAGGTAATCAGAGGGGGTCGTTTGCTGTGCCTGCTATTTTTAACTCCAAGGGTTATGTTTATCCAGCAATATCTGTGACCAATCTTGTAACGGCGGGCTTCGGTGCAGCTGGCACAAAAAAAAGGAGGTTTTTTAGTTAGCTGAAATGTGTGCCTGCAAAAAAAAAAAAAAAAAAAAAAACTTGCTTAACTGCAGCATAGTGGTGACACTTGGGTAGCATGTCACCTACTCCTTGCAGCATTGTTCCATCATTATGTGGCCATCTTTTCTTTGTAAAATAAGGGGTTTATTTACTGCAAACAGGCCAGTGTGATGGAATTCACGATGTATTCTCTAGGACTCCACCAGTCAGAGCTTCGGCCTACATTGCGAATTTCGTCACTCCATCCTTAACTATTATTTCTGTTCTAAGAAAGAATGGGTACATCATTGGCTTATGCGAATAGTGAGTTTTAGGTTCGAAGCAAATGGTGACATTGGTCGAATAATTTCTAATCGAATTTTAATAGTACATATATCGTATATTATAAAGAAAAAGGGGCATATTTGTCATTATTAAACTAACCTGCGCAATACTTTTTATAAATTGAAACAATGCTTGTGCAGTGCCATTTTTCGCATTAAAGGAAGTGGAAACAACTTTGAATAGTAACAGGATTTGACTTTCAGTAGAATGCAAATAATGTCAAGCTTTAGAATATGCTATACTTAGTGCATGTAAGTCGGTATAACGAGCTTTTGAGCTGGAAAAATGAATCAGTGTGGTAATATTTTGAAGTAGAGCTTTTATGGCTTAGAACCACTTCATAGTGAAACCACCTTTACAGTGTGTTGCATGCGGACTATTATGCACCTATTCATTAGTTTCTAATACGTAAAAGGAGCGAAGGGCACAGGCTTGTCTTGTGTCCTTCACTCGTATTACGTACGTGCCTTTAGTGCTATAAGCCTGGGTCCTTCGCTCGTGTTGCATACATGCCTTTAGCGCTTACAAAAGTTGTGCTACATTGCATTGCCTCGCTGCTGCTAAGGGCCATCGTTTACATGGGTTTGCAGTAAAATTGGGATCGGGCTGGTGCTGATCGCTGCTTGAAATAACCATTAAATATTTCATTGTAAAATATGAGACTACAGAAATCCTTGGAATTAAGCAGTACTTTAAAATCACAGAGTTCGTATTATTGGGGTTTTACTGTATATTAATCTGTGGTGCGATGCCTCAAATCAAACATTTCACCTAATTTACTCTCATTTGAACACAGTTTTAAGTAGAAATTTTGTAAGGTAGCACTTCTTAGTGCTAATAATAATAAGTCTCGTAACTCATATGCTGGATACCATGTCGTGCTCAGAGATTTTACCAAAAAAAAAAAAAAAAAAGACACACTGTCTAGTCTGAATTGCTTTTGCCATAGACATATAATAAAATAAGCAAAGCAAGCGCAGCTCCTTTACGAGAGCTTTAGGCCCACAGCGTTTGTGGCTGCTGAGCACATTGTTTGCTCGCAGAATTACTCTACAGAACAAGGCATGGGACCTAGTCAGATGCAATTCCTTCACCCTCGTTTCATACTTAATTTGAATACTACATTATTCATTCAAAGAATTCGAATATTTGACAAGCCTAGTAAACTGTGATGCTCTAATGTTTCGAACAGCCTGGAACATACTGCACGCATGTCACCACTGATTTGCGGTGAAACTCACCTTCTCCGTAAATGCATATTTCAGCCAACTGCTTAGAGCACCCACTCAGTGCTAGGCACTGTGTACCTCAGGTTACATCATAATACAGTTAAACCTGCATATAATGAATCTCGAATAACAAATTCCTCAATATAAGTCACCGACTGATTTTTCGGACTCCGAAAGTTCGGACTTGTTGGATATTTCGGACTTCAATAATGCACCGTCACGGTTCCCACAGGGCTAATGCATTTTTTCGACCGATTTTTTGGACGAATTCGCCCCCGAAAGTTGGATTTTCTGGACTAAATCCCTTGTGTTGAGCCGTGCCACGAACCTGTAAGAATGCTGCCATGTTGGATTTTTTGCCGGCTTGACTAAGCTTGGTGACTTATTTTTAAAATTACTTTCCTGCCTCCGAGATTGGAAAGCGAACATCATAATTAAAGTTTCAGAGGCTGAGTCGCACGGGATCATTTTTTTGTCTTTGGTCAGCACAGAGGTCAGCACTATCATCATCGCACCGTACGGGGAGGAGGCGGAGTAAAGATTCTTCATTTTTCGTAGCAGTTGCTGCTTGCCAGCTTGTTCCAGTCGCCATTTAGCACATGTTCTATGGGGTCGTATCGAGACATTGTGTGTGCTTCGCGGCGGCTATCTGCGTCATCGAATTTTGTGTGCTTGAGCTCGACGCCATGGTTCCACCATCTGTACCATCGCAAGAGCCAGGTGGTGGGAAAAAGCGTGGGAGCAGAAAACGTATTCTATTTCTTCGCCGATGCTCATTTGCGATAGCTATATTGCATTGACCCCTCTGCGTATACCTGAATGCTTTGCATGCCTAAACACACCAATATAGCTAACTGAGACACACGAGCGAGCATGGCTGAAGCATGCATCCTTGGGCACCTCTGCAGTGCTACTGGAACGGTGTCCTTTTTGGAACCACTGTTCTGCAAAAGGTCGATCGAAGCGAAAATAATTCGCGATGTCGCGAATCGCGGGGAATCTAAGCTCCAGACTATCGTATTGAACCCGAGTCGACACTTCGCACGGCAATGACAGCAATGCAGGTGACAAGGCATGACTGGATGTGTCCACCTAGCAGATGAAATGTTTGCAGAGCAGCTGAATCTGGAGGAGGCGCTGCGGTCACCGAGGTGAATGGACGCTCTACACGTCGGCTCCGTTCTCATAGAATGATTTCGCAGCGAATACAGCCAGGCACCGCTCGAATTTATATACCATCTGATTCTTCTCGTCACCGAGAATCCGAAGAGACCATATTCTAAGGTGGGTGATCATTTTTTGAGATTTTACGACCGAAAACCAGCCCCCACCAAGCAGCGTCTACTACTCCTACGATCGGCCCTCCGCGTCGACTGGGGCGGCCTCGCGATAGCCAGACCTCGGCGTTCGGGCCATACAGGCCATAATCATCAATAATGGAGGTATCGCAGCAGAATTAAGACGCCACCCAACGGGAAGACGAAGACGTCACCCGACAAGAAGATGACACAGGCAACGGGTGGACAGAAGTTCGATACAGAAAACGTGGGAGGAAAGGTAGCCGGGAACGCCGTGGTAGCCCTAGCCCTACCCGAACAGCTAGAACGCGCGGTGCGAATCTGATATTCCGGATAACCAGAGCCAGCAAAATGCCAAGACCGCCGACAGGCGACTTCAAGATAGTTATAAGGTCAAGAGGAGGACTGCAGCTAACCAAGCTTAGCTTAACGGAGCTAGACAAAGCTGTGTATGAAGCGGCCGAGATCCCTTATGAAGAAAGAGAGACGGACACGATTTGTCCGAATAATTTTCAGAACATCTTGGTCGTTAGCACCCCAAACCAAGACCATGCAGACAAGTACCAAGGCATCAAGCGCATCAAAGCCAACAACAAGTTGTATAAGGTGGGAGCATACGAGACGGCCCCGGAACTCATTGCCAAAGGTGTAATCAAAGGAGTTCCTTTGAACGAAACCCCACGGGACATCACCGCAGCTATTATTACAGCCCGAAATCCTACGGCGATCGCAGCCAAACCTCTTGGCAACACCACGACAGTGATAGTCCTTTTTGACGGCAGCAGAGTCCCGACGCACGTTATATACAGAGGAGTGCTCACACGCTGTTCACTATACAGGAAACAAGTTAACTTTTGCAAACAATGCGGCAGGGATCATCCCACGACTGACAAACTCTGCAAGGCCAAGTTCAAGACACCCTACATCGTAAAACAACGCCAGTGGTTCCGACAACTTCAAGAGACGCTCGAGGAGGACTACCCCCCTACCACCAAGCCAACCAAACGTGGGAGGTCCAAATTCCGGACGAGGGCAACGCCTGGGTCCAGATCAAGGTCCTGGTCCTGCGCAACGCCCCGCGGCCACACCTCCAAGTCTCCGGGACCGAGAAGGCGCACTACATCCCGTTCCAGATCCCGGTCTAAGCCAAAGGGTGGCAATGGCCATCAAGGGA